TACATATTTTTACGATGTAATGCTAATTTTTTCAATAAATATCATTAATAAATTCGATGTTATTCACTTTGTGCAGTCATTTTGCTAGTACTTGCGGCGGTGTTCAGTATGGATATTATTTGTGACGAGTTGAAGCAAAATAACGTAGATATTGACAAGGAGAGTTTTTTCTTTCATATTAATGTTATCCTTAATAAGAATCACGAATTATTCGAAGTAGCAAGAGTCCATTCTTTAACAGTAAACCTTAGTCGGTTTTATAAAGAAATAAACGTAACAAATTTTGGACGATTTATTGCTTATTCAGCACTAGTATACAGAGCTTGTGATTCCCTGAATGAAGAAACTATTCGTCAGGCAGTAAGATTATCAGTTGAAGTTATAAAAACATTTGACTTGAAAAAATTTAAACGCAGTAAAAAATCTCTTCGAAGCGTTTTTTAATGATGTCATTTACACTAGCGGTTCTTTATGTCATTTAAGTATCGCGAAAATTACCATGCGCTGTTCATTTGATACGACCGTTGAGGTGTAGGCATGACTTGTTGCTGTGAGGGTTTCCCACAAATAGCTCTCTGTAATATATTTCAGAGGATCCGCTGTATTTCCGCTTTTGTGGGAGTATTGTGATTCAAGCCTCTGACATTGATGGCAGAAAAATATCTAAGCCAACTGTACTAGAATCCAGAACATCCTGCAAGTTTTGTAGGCGTAGATTCAATTTACAGTGTTGTAAAAGAGGAAGGAAAACATCAAATATCGCGGAATAGAATACGGTCATGCTTAAAAAAGCAAGACACGTACACGTTACAAAAACCCGTACGGTTCTATTTTAAAAGCAGAAGGGTTTTAGTGGGTGGCTTTGATGAACAGTGGGAGTCTGATCTCGTTATTATGGACTCGCCAAGTAAACAAAATAATGGTTACAAGTACCTTTTGACAGTTATCGATGTCCTAAGCAAGTACGCATGGATTGAACCAATTGAGACGAAAACGGGCAAGAGCCTCGTTCAGGCGTTTGGAAAAATAATTAAGAAGGGAGAAAACCTGAGAAACTACACACAGACAAAGGCACAGAGTTTACGAATGGAATGTTCCAAAAGTTTTTAAAGGAAAATAATATTCGATTCTTCACGACCCATAACGAAACCAAGGCCTCATTTTTTTTACAAACACAGTAAAGTACATTGACATAATTCAGAAGTTAGTCAAATCATACAACCATTTCAGACACCGTAACATAGGAATGAAACCAGCTGACATGAATAAAGATAACGAAGGTATTGTACTTCACAAGTGCATTTACTATAAATTTAACATTGGTGATCAATTTCGGATAAGTAAAGAACGCGTACGTTCAAGAAAGGCTACCTACCCAATTGGACCGATGAAGTGTTACTATAACCGGCGAAGCGAGTGCCACGATAGTCTCCCTCGCAGCCTGTTCGCGGGTATTCCCACTCACAGGCTGCTAGCTTTCGAACAACATTCCTTTCTGCCTGCTTAGCCAATGACAATCAAGGTTCCATATTTCGGAACTTTTTGCCGCCACATTACACAGCCAATCACAATCAATGTTTCAGACGTATTCTGAGCCGGAAATCACTGAACAATATGGCTTCTCTGGAAAAAACATTCGATATTGCTGCTCACAAGTTCAACATTCGCTGCCTTAATCCGCATCAGAAAACAGCGATTCGAACAGTAATTATTGAAAAGAAAGACGTGTTTGTAAATTTGCCCACTGGCTTTGAAAAATCGCTCATGTGCCAGGCACTTCCGTTTGTAATAGACGAGGTGTCCAGATGGCCGGGTCATATTGTGGCAGTTGTCTCCCCGTTGTTAAGTCTCATGGATGATCAAGTAGCACAACCTACAAGTCTGGGAGTAAGCGCGGTTAATATAAGCTCGCGCATGGAAGAAGATTGCGATGGTGTCGAAGCTGGTGAATATTCTATCGTTTATGGCACGCCAGAAGCGTGGATACTGAACCCTCGATGGAGAAATATGCTTGATAGTAAAGTTTATTCGACAAGATTATGTGCTCTAGCAGTGGATGAGGCCCATGTTATCAGACAGTGGTGAGTTTAGTTAAAATTTATAATTTTAAACGATATAAAGTTAACTAATTTTATCGATTTATAGTGAAAATCAGAAAATGTTCTAAAATATGGTAAATACAATGTTTGATTCGGTTTAATATAATAATTTTATGTTTGATTATGTAATTTATATTTATATTATTTATATACGACTCAAATATGACAATGAATTTGAGTTTCCCTGCCTTGTTGTATATACATTCAATTTAAATATATTATAAGTACAGCGTTAAATTATTAAACCTTGTGGACCTCATTAATTTACTACATATGCAGTCGGCATAATTTAATACTACATTGCATATATAGACTACATACTAAATGAATGTTCCCTATGCCTATAAAATGACAGTTTCCAAACCATGTGTTAGGTATTGGGATATACATTCACTTTGGTTTAGTATTTACTACGAAATGTTGAAATGTTTTCAATATTTATATCATCAATTTATCGTAGTCGAACTATATTAATAATCTTAATAAGTAATGTATTGATGCATGACTAAAAATAGAAGTGGTTTAATATTTTTTTTATACTTTCCCTTCCCAGGGGGATATCACAAGATAACAAAAAGGCTGCATTCCGTGAAGCATACAGCAAGTTATATGAACTCAGGTCATTAGCACCAAATGTTCCAGTGATTGCCCTAACAGCTACAGCAACACATTTGACTAAAGAATGCATATTGAGACAGAGTATTCTATGCATGGATGACTGTTCTAAAATTGAAGAGAGTCCAAATAAGCTAAATGTATCATATGCTGTGGAGTGTATGCACAAGGACACAGAGTTGGAGTTTTATTTTACTTGGCTAGCTGGTGAGTTAAAGTCTAAAGAAAAGCAATGTGAAAGGACTATTATATACTGCCAGACAATCAAGCAATGTTCCATTATTAAAGGAATTTTGGGGAACTACCGGTATATGTTTGCCAGAGAAGACAAGAGTGTTCTTATGGAAATGCTTCACTCCTGCACCCCAGAAGATAACAAAAAATATATCCTTGAATCTTTTCAAAATGTAAACGGAACAATTCGAATTTTAGTTGCAACTATTGCTTTCGGCATGGGTGTTGACTGTAAGGCAGTTCATCGTGTCATACATTATGGACCATCAAAAACCATCAAAGAATATGTACAGGAGAGTGGACGTGCTGGAAAGGATGGGGTGCATAGCAGGAAATTCATTTTATATCATGGAATTCTTCTAAATCATGTTGACATGAACATAAAATCATTTGTCGAAACTAAAGATTGTAGGAGAAAAACTCTTCTGAATCATTTTGAAGCTGATTGTAAATTGCGACTTTATCTGCATCTTTGTTGTGACAACTGTGCATCTATTTGTGAATGTGGACAAGCAGACTGTGGGCAGTATACAAAATACCCAATCACTGATTGTTACAAGGATGTACTGTTTAGTGGGAGGAAACGAGAGGTTAGCAATGAGCAAAAGAAGTTGATTGAGAATGCTTAGCTGATACAATACCAGAAGAAACTTCTTATTGAACTTGCTAACACAACTGCAAAAGCAGAAATCAAAACTTTAACAACATTCGACTCATGTTAGGGTTTTCTGAACATCAGATAACTCAAGTTTTGAATAGCATTGATCAGATTTTTACCATGTCTGATGTTTGTAGTGCTGCTGAAATTTGGGACAAGAGACATGCAGAAAAGATATTAAACATTTTCAACAGTGTATTTGCAATTGGTGACCTACTGGTAGATGAGCATTTGCATGATTCAAGAGGTGAATCTGTTTTGGATATGTACGAATTTGATGACGAACTACTTGATGATTGGCAAGAAATTCTTCAAGATAATGACATGTTTGATATGATTGTAGAAAATTTGACACTCTCACAATTACAGAACTCTTTAATAGATGAGCGTGACATGTCTTCAGACTCTCAAGATTAATAAATCATTGTATCTGTGTTAAAGTAAAACTGAAATTCAGTTGTACGAATTGGTCTTTCCCTTGATATTTTACAATGTAACCAAACAATGCAGTATATAACTGTCTACTTCTTTGTGGAATTTTATATCTATTATTAAATAAAATAACTGCATTCATGGGTGTAGTGTTTATTATATTGTTGTAACATGAAGTATAAGAAAGATTAGGAATCCAAGATGACGTTTTAGTAAATATACGTGTTCAGTAAATTGTTTATGTTTAATCGAGTTCAATCTGTTGTTTTATCGGGATACATACTACAAATGGCGACGAGGATTTACATCTAAATATATCAAGGACTTGTTTAAAAGGAATTTTGATAAATTAGTATCATGGAAACGAATCAAAATTCGGAAAATATTCAAGCAGGTGAATCGAGTGGAGCTGTTGTTTTAAATACGAATGCGAAAGTACTCGAAGTTGGTGGTTTTCCTTGCTTCGACCCCAAGGGAGATCCAAATACACTATCAATTCGCTGGAGAAGAT